CCGCAGAGCGGGGTCGGCGGATTGGCCTTGGAAGGTTTGGCGGGTTTGACAGTCATATGGATCTAGTCAAGTGTTTTTTGCTGCAGATTTGGACGGCAAGGGCTACTGCACAAGGTCCCTCCATCGCTCACAACTGCTTAAGCAGATTGCAATATGCTGACAATGCAGGACTTACACTGTTTAATCAGACACGTCCAGACCGTGTTTAGGAAAGAGGGTCAGTAGTGTGTATGCGCTTGAAAGAACCCTGACACTTGCAAGTCATGGCGAGGCAAAAGGTCTGTGCAGCCCTGGAATCTTTGGGCAGTTAGCTGGCCGGCACAGAATCATTCTTCAGAAGTGGCATCACGTCAGGCTATTGAAGATGGCATCGCGTGTGTGCAGTGATTTTTTCTTCGAGTGTTGTCCCAGTTGCAAACAACTGATGCCCCATGTGTCCTTCTCGTCTCACCTCTCGGAAGCTTTGCGGGATGACGCCGCAGTGCGTTCGTCGGCCGCATATCCCGCAGACATCAAAAACCGACAGCTTGGGGATATGCCTGATTTATCCTCGTAGGTACAGTGAGACTTTGCTAGCATCATTGGTGCAACGAGAGCTGCCTTGTGACTCAAGATGTCTGCCGAAACACCTTCACAGGGTTCGGCCAAATCCATGCCCTTTGCTCTTTTTGCCTCTAACTTTAGTAGGTCCTTGTTCGGCACTCAGTAGACCCGACATCCCGATATCCGAGGGATATCAAGTTTCTGTATGGCCTTTCACGAAGTGCGCTTTGTCCTCTTGATTGGTTAATGCAACTCCTCCGCTTGGTTGTTTGCTGCTTCCCCTACGTGCTGTCAGTGCAATCGGCACCGTGATGCTCTAGACTGCTCGGTTGACAGAGACCCAGCAGCCAGCTGCAGACATGATGCCCCCACGCATTTAAGCAGACTTCTTGGCATTCAGCTGCAAGCTAGCAAGCTAGCAAGCAAGCTACAGTCTAATTCTATCAGTCACGCCCACGTGCCATATGGGGCGGTCAGGCCATGACCACGGCCATCCCCGCGCTTTGAACCAAGGCACGGAGGCGGTCCTAGTTAAAATCATACGCAACTAGATGCAACTAGGAAACGGCAATTATATTCTGAGGATGAACATACTTCCGTTTAATTCAAGCGTCGCAGCTGCCTCAGAACAGCAGAGAAGTGCCCCCTGACATCCTTCACGATATCTGAGGCGCATCCACTGTGCAGCTTGGAGGTTTCTCCCTAATTCCCTTGTTTTATCCAAGTCAGACCCCTTCCTGCACAGGAGGTGGCAAGGCAGCCATGAATCCTTCAAGCTCCGAAAGGCTGGTCCTGCATGTGAACCTGACGCAAACTGATGCAATCTGTGTGACAGGTCAGCATCTAGCACGGGGTCAGGCTCACCTGAGAAAAGGCCAAAAGAGCAAGCGCCGTGGGTGCTTCAGACTCTCTACTCCGTAGGACTCTGCTATGCGTTCAAATTGGCCAGGATGGTCCTCAGACTTCTGTTTGGCCCGGAGCATCATGTAAAGGTAGGATGTCATGCTCCCTTTCAAGCCTGCTGCCGTGAGGTCGAACACGACGAAAGCCGTCGAAGGAAAAGCTGCAGGCAGGTCAAATGTGGAAAGCAGAACCTCCAGTTCTTGTGCCGCCTTGCTGATGGGCGGCTGGATGCTGCAAATGTCAGGCATTAGATGTGCATTGTCTTTTTGCCCTCCTGCGGATGAGATGCGGATTGAGGATTTTCTCCTCGGGAAGCAAATCTAACATGACAATCCCAAGATTTCCTTGGCAAGGTTCTAGTCTGGCCACATGCCGAAACTGCCAATGGAAGCAACCGGGATACCAACACAGTAGGAGATACGCCCCATCAAGCAGCCATGCTAGCTTTTTCTGGATTCGCGCTCCGTGGCATTGCAGGAGAGGCTGAGTCTGACTCTGACGCGCAGGAGCCTGCTGCCAGTGTGAGATGAGAGACGCGGCTTTGTGTGGGTTGGTTGTGAATGTTGTGAGCTGCACGTCGGTGATAAGTCCATTATAGCTGCACTAGCAGGCCGAAGAGGTTGAAGAGGAGAAGGAGGAAGAAGACGAGGAAGAGGATCCTGAGGAAGAGGAAAAGGAAGGAGAAGAACAGAGTGACAAGGAGGCGAATGATAAGGAGGCGAAGGATCCTGATGACAGCTCTGAGGACTCGTCACAGGAAGTGCAGGCAGCGAAGGAGGACGGGCAAGCCTTTGGAGAAGGGAGCGTATCAGGTCAACACTTGCTTTTTCCTGCTTACTCATTGGACAAGGCCCGTAAGCCGTAAGCCATTGCCACTCAGGGTGCCCTGACGCTTCGATAGGAGACACGCGTTCGGCTTGTGCCGGCCGGCCGAGCCCGCTCGCGCTCCTCTGGAGACAAGAAGGCCCCTTCACATGTGTACCCTTCAGCGATGCAAGGCCTTTCTAGTTTCCAGAATAATGGAACAGGACGGCAGGCGGTCCAAGTCTGACAAGAAGGACTGCAGTCTCTGTGGCTGAGTGAGTCATCAACTAGCTGGTCGCCTCCTTGAGTTTGGAGCCTCATTTGAGGACCGGTCTGCCAGCAAGCGGAAGAGGCCGGTTTCGTTCGAGATTTGTCCGGACAGTGGAGGTCAATTGCTTAGCGGGCGATACTATGTCACATGGCGATTGATGGAGGCGCTCCTCAAGCTCTCGTAGCCGCAAGCGCAAGTCGCCCAAGCGGGCAAGTCGAGTGGGTCCTATACTGTCGAAGCGCCGCTCGCGGTCTAGATCCGCGAGAAACAACAAGGCCCCCTTAGTCCTGTCAGTTCTAGCTGGCTGCGTGTGCTTGCCATCAGGCGGGTGTGCAAGCAAGATGTGTCTAAACACTTAGCTGACTTGGCTTACGAGCGGACCAAATTTCAGATGTGTCTCCGTGTGGGAAGGACCGCAACAAACGATCAAGGTCGAGGAAGAAGGACTACGTTGTATGCTGTGACCGCGCATTTGGATTCAGGCTTGGCTGGATACTAGATATTGGTTGATCCTTTTTGATGCTTCTTGTTTCGTGCAATGCATCTGTTTTGTTCGGTTAACTCTGTCTGTTGCAGGCAGTTTTATCACTGCTAAAGGTTTTGGACCAGATCTCTGTGACTGCCTCCAAGCCTTGCATTTATTTTGAAAATGAAGTGAGATTCGGCCTCTACACGGAACCTAGAACATCAGAGCGGCGTGCTGCCTGCCGCGGCATAAAGCTGGACCCAAGAATGCTTGGCATGTGCGTGACAGTTCAAGCGATGCAGTCCGTTGTGAAGCCTGTCTTTCACTCATCGCTTGAGGTTGGGGAGGGTCATGAGTCATGAGCTTTCTGAGCAGTGTGTGACATGAGCCCCGCCCAGGCCCAGAGGTTAGCGGAAACCTATGTGGAAACCTTGCTGTATCAGTGTGCGGCATGCACCAACTACTGACCTCCTGAATGCAAGGCAAGTGATAGTACAAAGATGTAGTAGTAGCTTGTTCATGCAGAGTCTGCAGCCTTGGGAGAATCTGGAGGACCGGTCTGCCAGCAAGCGGAAGAGGCCGGTTTCATTCGAGATTTGTCCGGACAGTTGAGGTCAATTGCTTAGCGGGCGATACTATGTCACATGGCGATTGATGGAGGCGCTCCTCAAGCTCTCGTAGCCGCAAGCGCAAGTCGCCCAAGCGGGCAAGTCGAGTGGGTCCTATACCGTCGAAGCGCCGCTCGCGGTCTAGATCCGCGAGAAACAACAAGGCCCCCGTAGGTTCGGATGGGCTGGTTTGTTTCTTGTGTGCGACGATGGTGTGTGGAGGATCGCATGAGGCGGTCTAAGTCAAGAAAGAAGGCCAGAGTATTATTGTGCATTGTGCAACGCTGGCAAGCATGGTAATGAAATTTGAAATTCTTGCTTGCGTTTGGAGGCAAGGTCGTCCAGCAGGCGGAGGAGGCAAGAATACGTGGCCAGCATTATTTGCAGTGACACGCGGACGTGGAAGGGTATGGTAAGCAAACACTACGGCATGGACATCACAAGTGGGATGTGACAGGCGCTCTTCCAGCTCTAAAGGTCGCAAGAGGAGGTCGCCAGATCGTCAGGGCATGTCTTGCCTCCTAAAGATAAAGCCCGCGACCACTACAGATTCTCCTCCGTAGATTCGTAAGAAGGGCTCAGTGAGACAACAGTACATGCTAGCTGCAGCGGAAGTCCAGGAACCTGGGAGCAAGTGAGACAAAAAAGCTTGGGCAGAAGAGTCACGCAACTGGTTTTGGCAAAGGGATGCTCAGCTGTGTCATCATGGCATGACGGCGTAATGATCAAAATGTGGACCATTCCTTGATGGCACACTTTTGAGCTGGCATGGCAGCTACTCCGTGGCATGCACAGGAGCACTTCGAAAGCCAGAGCAGCAACGAACAAGGCGATCGGCTCCCAATGAGTACTTGCGAGAGAGTTACACAGTATTCATTCATGCAATGCGGCCAGGCTATCATTGTGGGAGATGGTCAGGTCCAAATCTAAGTGTTTTTGCACATATGCATATAGAGCATGAAGCTTGTGTGCTTGTGCGTGCTGCTTGCAGGCCAAAGCCCCAAGATTGGCCACTGCTCCTGCCACGAAGCATGCAGTTTGCAAGCACTGTAGAAGCAAGCAGTGATACGTTGGTTCAGTGTGCCTGCCAGCAAATGTGTTTTGAATCCTAGGGCAGTAGGACCTCCTTGAGGAGCGAAACTTAACCCAGCAAGCAGTTCTGGCTGAGGAAGTTAAAAAAGAAGGCGACTCCAAGCCAACCGGTCAGACCCCGGTGTCATGCTCAGTTCCGTTCTTCTGCAAACTGCGTTGGGTGAGACTTTCAGATGAGCTGAACATATTTGAGCGGCGGCCAAAACCTCCATGTGGGATTTTATGTAAACATGAAAATAATGATTGGTCGCGTCAGCTTTTATGGTGTGCGCGATAGTTCGCGTCAGTAAA